GCTCCAGCATCGGCTGGCCGCGCTTGCATCGACAAACTTGTCGGCGCAATCCTTACACTAGAATAGGTACTATCATGTGGTCCGAAAAAGAGACATTATCAGCGCGGGAAGTAAATGCCGCAAGTATTTGCGCCGCCAGATTAGCTTCCAGCCAAGAAGCCAGTGAGCTATCTAATTGCTCAAAGAGCTGTGAGCTTCATAGCTGTATCGGCGGCCGGCCTTTTTCCAAAAGCAGTAACAACTTCGCATTCATAAAGAATCTTCAAATGGGTATGACTCGCACCAAGATATTCCACGTACACCATCGTCAACATTGCATGAAGCGCAGAAATCAAACTTATACCCGCAAAGGAGGTCGAGCAGGTACGGCTGTGTGTACACGCGAGGAGCGATGAATCTGAGTCAAACACAGTGTAAATAGAGTGATCTCTTGTCTGATGGGCAGCGTTTTTGTGTCCTGAACTTATACCTTGTGAGGCATAAAAAGCTATAATAAGTTCAAAGACATCGTACTACTTGTGTTGAAGATGTGAGAGTATTGACCATTCCTTGCCCGGATATTACATCATGCATCTCACGGCGCTTGCTAAGGTGTCGAAGTCTATTTTCCAAGCTTTTATATGCAGTCACAATACTTGGTACTATGTGAGTTCTAGACCTGGATACGATATACAAAATCATTGTGGGAATGCTGGAACACCAAGAGCCATGGATACTATCTAAATAGGAAGGGTTCCGCACACGCCTATCGTAGTGGAGCTTCATTTCATGATGAATCCATTGCTGCCAGACAGCAGAAACGCTATCTGGTCCGGCAAAAAGCAAGTGCAGGACATGGGTTTGACCGCGGTATTTGTCCTTATAGGGGGCGTTTCGGTGCGGCTTGAAGCCGCGGTCTTTGAGACTGGCTCTTATGGACACAGGGGGTTGCATGTCAAGATTTGTAAAGCCTAGCGTTGGTTTATGAAAGATCATTCGCCAAACTTAAAGACAATTAAGTTAAGATAGAAACATACCCAGCGTGCGAAGCATCGAACCTATTTTTTTTGTGAAACCATCAAAGTTCACTCGAAGTTAAATGCTGTAGTAACGGAGATACTGAATGGTAATAACTTGGTGTCTCATCCTAAAGACATGCATGCAAGGAGTCACAAGGCATAAAGTTCACCGAGTAGCAGCTGGCAGTATCGAAAGCGGGAGTAAGCTCATCATAAATTTATATCGATGACAAAATGAATGCCAAGAGTGGTAAAGCTATTAAAATGGTCTCACAAACCTTTTTAATCTTTTGATGTGAATGAAAATGGGATATGTCGTTATAAGGTTGACTCGGCTTTTCTTACATGATGAATAACGTTTGAAGAAAGATTGCTATATCATATGCGTTTTCGTTTCGTGCATAGCATAAAGAAGGTTCAGTGAGTGAAGGTACCCTTGCCACCTTCGTTGACTTTTTGTAACAGATGCGCTTCTGGCAAATAGCGAATTGTGTATGCTAACAATAAACCAACTGTCGAGTGCGAGCGCCATTTGAGCGGCAAAGCGGTCGAGGATAACTCGTTTGAAAAATTGATTAAAGAGATAAACGCGGAGAAGCTGCGTACAAGCACGTGCGATGGAATGAGATGCCGCAACGCGTGGTGGAGTCCGCACAGAGACGTCTAGGATGATTGAAGCTTTTTTACATGCAGACAATAAACATGGTGAAAAATTGGGCTGAATGATGTGCTTGCGGGTATGTTCAAGAAAAGATTAGTGGTGGTTCCTACCGACGGAGTGGTGTAAAAATATCGTTAGAAGCACCGCGTTTTGATCACACTTAATTGGTGATGCCTGTTTGTCCTGATATTTCTCGTGGTCACGTAACGAGATTGGCAGTTAAATTCGTACTATCACGCCCGAATCTGTATTCGCAATCATGACCAGCAAAACCAAGCTCACGACCTCAAGCGCAGCCAGACGCTAATAACTCCCATAATCTCACGTACAGTAACGTGTTAGGAGTTTTTCGACAAGCACCAATGTTTTCAATATTGTGATTTTAAACAACGCCAAGAAATAGATGCTTGG